ATACGGTCCCAGTTTATGTCAATAACATCACACATGCTTATTGGCACCCCTGGATGAGTTCAATCACCACGCTCAAAGAAGCTCTCATTCTGGTGTCTCTTGCCTAAAGGCACACAGATCCAGGAATGTGGCCCACTGCACCCAAAAGTTCTGCAGCCACGGCTGATAGTCCTAGATATGATAAAATTCTATTTCCCAGTGCTTGTTTTGGGGCCCAAAAGCCACTCTGCCTTGTGCAGCTGACGGGGGCAGCGGAAGCTTCCTAATAGTGTGTGTGTGGGGGGGCCATTAGCACCTGAACTGTGGCCCCACCTCTGGGCCTTGCTGGGTTAGGCTCACAATCCTCTTCCAGCCAGGCACACAGGCAGGGCCACACCCAGCTGCAGAGAGAGACAGAGATCCGCTCTGGAAAGATTCAGCCTTAGGGGCTTGCCCCAACACTCTGGTGCCAAGTCTCTTTAAGGGGTACAAACCCAAAGATTTTATGAAATGTCCCCCCTCCCTCAATGTGGAGGGAAGTATGCACAACTTCTTGCCCCCTCCCCCAGTTAGAAATTCCAGAAACTGGGTTTAATAATTGTGACGTTCTGTACCTTGGGGGAACACCCTACATGCCCATGTTCATCCTCATAATATGATTGTGTGGTCTCTAATGCAAAGTGTGTCATGTTGGGTGTCTTCAGAAGGCTCATGATGTACTGAGCATTGTTGTTATAGTAGTGTTATGTTATAGGTTGTAATTTCATGTATATAGTTATGAGGCTGAAAATGTGTCCTCATGGCTTAAAGCAGGCCCAGGCAAAACTCTCCAAGAGCAGAGGGGCAGTTCACACCTCATCAGGGCATGTATGGGACAAACCCAGCCCAGCCTCACAGGAACAAAGGACACTGGCCTAGGCAGCAACAAAGGATCTGTTGGACTCTTGAGTGAGTCACCCCCCTTCCTTTGGTCAGTTTGGGACTACGATGAGGTAATGCTCACCTGACTCTGAAGTGGGGAGGGCAAAGCCAAGAGGGAAGAAAGAACATGATAAAAGGGAGAGATACTTGCCATGTTCTCTCTCTTCCACCTCCATCTACAGACATCACCACCAAGCGACTGAAGCGCTGATCAAAGGGGAGCGCCTGGCTGAAGAGCAACCAGCCAGTCTGTGGTGAGAAGCATCTAAGTTTGTAAGGGCACTGAAAGTGTTAAGATCAGCTTAGACTGCGTTTTGCTTTTATTTAATTTGACCAAATCCGACTTGTTGTGCTTTGACTTATAATCACTTTAAATCTGTCTTTTATAGTTAATAAATTTGTTTATTCTACCTGGAGCAGTGTGTTTGGTTTGAAGCGTGTCAGAGACTCCCCTTGGGATAACAAGCCTGGTACATATACATTTCTTTGTTAAATTGACAAACTCATATAAGCTTGCAGCATCCAGTGGGCATAACTGGACACTGCAAGATGAAGATTCCTAGGGTTGTGTCTAGGACCGGAAATATTGACTAGTGTCATTCAATAGCACAATCCAACGAGCAGCTTACATGCCAGAGGCTGTGCGTGAACAGTCCAAGAGTGGGGGTTCTCACAGCAGAGCAAGGTAAGGCTGGCTCCTAGAGTCAAGGATTGGAGTGACCTAGCAGATCTCCGGTCCAGATAACACCAGGGAAACCTCACAATAATAAACAGAACAAATTTTATTAACCACAAAAGGTGAATTTTATGTGTTAAGAGATAACAGACAGAACAAAGCAGATTACTGAGCAAATAAAACAAAGTACGCAAGCTAAGATCAATATACTTAAGAAACAGGTTACAAAATGTAATTTCTTACCCTAAATATTATGTTAGGCAGGTTGCAAAGTTTCTGTGGTTCAGAGTTTTGGTTATATTTCTTTTCAGACTGGACCCCTGTCTCAGTCTGGACTCCCCGCCACCTTCCCTTCAGGTGGCTTTTTCAGTCTTTCTTCTTGGGCAGACAGGCCATGGAGAGTAGTAGTACCATTTGGCTTCCTCCACACCCTTAAATAGGATTTACATAAGGTGGGAATCCTTTGTTTCCCAAACTTGACCCCCCTTCCCTTCTAATGGAAAGTTACACAAAGTCCCAGGTAATGTTTAGTATCAAGTGACAAGACCACCTGCCTCTCTAGTGTCCCAGCGTCCATGAGTCAGTGGCAGTATGGAGCTTCTGCAAAAAGGCCAAGCCTTTTCACAGTCCATTGTCCTCGCTGATGGGCCATCTGCCCTGTCTGGCTTTTCCATTGTTGTACTTGAAGTGTTCGCTGTGGGCATCACCCAAAATAGCATAGTTGAAATACAGATACATAGTCAATATTCCTAACTTCAGATACATAAATGATACAGGCATACAAATTGGATAATCACATTCAGTAAATTATAACCTTTCCAATGATAGCTTACCAGACCCATCTTGCATAAAGTACATATCAGTTATGTCATATTCATAACATAAGCATATTTTCATAAAGAATATGGAGTAAAACGTCACACCCCCGAACCCGTGCGCTGCCCCTTTTCCTGAGGTCCTGCCCTCGCACCATCCCTTCCCCCAAGGCCCTGCTCACACATCACCTCTTCCCCCCAAGATCCCACCCTCGACTCGCTCTTCTCCGTCCCCTCCCCCCTCGCTTGCCCTTATGGCCGGTAAAAGGTGGGGGCCCCTGTTCCGGCACTCCTGGCAGCTGGTCAGGAAATGCCTGTAGCACCTTACATTTTTTATGCAGAGTTGTATCATCCATACTTCCTTTTTAGTTGTCTCTCATCTTCATTCCAGCATCACTGTGGCAGCAGCTGTCACTGAAGTTTCATAAATACAGAAGAATCGTGCATGCTGCTTCTCAAACAGAAACAAGAACTCTGCTGATCTGTACAGGATCCCTGTGTCTAACAGTGAAGTGATAGAGAGATTGAAAAGCAGCACAGTGCACTGTGGGAATTTTAAAAAACACCACAAAGATTATGGGATGGAAAAAAAGGAATTGTGCGAACTTGACCCCAAGTTCCCACAATTCCCTGATCCCAGTGCAGTGCTGTTATCCAACAATGCACTGAAAAATCATCACCCAACGCAGGGCGCTGGACAGTGGCACTAGGATGCCTACTTTGGGTGCATTGTGTCTTTTGCAGACACAACCTCTCACAGTGAGGACACTTGCCTCTGGCAAAAACAGCCAAGTGTGCACATGCTCTATCATAAATAGCACTGTTAGCAACTGCATGCCAGCAAAAGTTGTACCGGTAAAAATTTTTGTGTAGACATGGCCCAAGATTAATTGAAAAATAACATCTGAAAGCCAGAGATCTTCTCAGACAACTCTTTTAGGACTCCTGGGTGCAAGTTATCCAGATCTGATTATTTTAAAATATTTATCCCTAGTAGAAGCTGTTTAGACATGCACTAAAGAGGATTATACACTACAAACTTTTGACCACACATTACATTGGGATAAAGCTACTGCACTTAGTATATCACGTATGTGTGTGCATGTGTGGGTCCCTGTGTATGTGCTGCACGTACTCACCAGGCATGCTTTTTTGATGCACAGTGCAGAGCACAATGGGTAGGTATCCCAATGTGCAACTCGTCATTATCCAGTTCACTGACTTTTAGGAAGTTTTGGCAATGCATGGTGGGGCAGAAAGGAGTCACGCAGGGGTTACTGGGATTGAGGAGTCAAGTTCACATCATGCAACTTTCTCCATTCCATAATGCCATCTCTATCACATAATTTTCATGCCTATTTTGAAAATCCGATGAATCCACATGAGACATTTTGCTGTCCACCATCTCTGACAGAAGCATGGAGCCTGCACAGCTCTGTGCTATTGTCATGAACGTTGCAAGCACAGGACGCATGATCCTCTGGTATTTGCAGAACCTCAAGAAGAGCCATGGGGAATATGATGATTTCATGGAGGACAGATTGCTGTGGGACATAGCAAGAACCAGTACCAGATTCTTAGTGGCATTCATTGAGCAGATGTAAATGGTGGAGCCCACAAAACAAGCACTGACTGGTGAGATTGCATCATAATGCAGGGTTGAGATGACAAGCAATGGCTGCAGAACTTTTGGATGCGAATTCCTGGATCTGCGTGCCAAGCTCACCCCTGCCCTCCAGTGCAGTGACTCCAGAATGAGAGCTGCACTGAGAGTACAGAAGTGAGTGGCGATTGCACTGTGAAAACTTGCAACACTGGATTGCTACCAATCAGTGGGAAATCATTTTGGAGTTGAAAAATGCACTGTGGAGCCATTGTCATGCAAGTGTGCAGGGCCATTAATCGTCTCCTGCTACACAGGCCTATGATTCTTGGCAACGTGCAAGAACTAATGGCTGGATTTGCAGCAATGGGGTTCCCAAACAGCGGTGGAGCAATACACAGCACCAGGGCCGGCTCTAACTCTTTTGCCGCCCCACTCAAAAAAGAAGAGTGCTGCCCCCCCCCCGGGAGCGCCACGCCACCGTACCCCCTGCAGTGCTGCCGAAATCCCCGCCCCCCCAGCGCTGCGCCGTGCCAGCCCCCGCCCCTCCTCCGAGCGCCAGCCCCCGCCCCCCCAGTGCCGTGCCGCTCCAGCCCCCGCCCCTCCTCCGAGCGCCAGCCCCC